GCTGAAACAAGTGACTAGGACCAAAGACCTGGGAGAAGCAAAACACAGGTCGTTCCCTTCAGTCAATGGTCTGAGACAGCATCAATGATGCCAGGCCAGGAATCCAATTCTTAGTTGCCTATAGGAAAAAAGAAAAACACCTGTGCAAAGGTACCAGCACGGTCTGCTCAATCAAAGGGCCAGAACTCAATTTCCAAGCAGGTTTTTCATGATGCTTTCTAGTTCTGGGATCCTTTTCCCACCCAGGAAAAGCAATGTTTATGGACTGCAGCCGGCTCCTTCACATGAAGGGCACGCAAGAAAGCATTCACTGCACAGCAGAAAGCTACTTTAGCACAGCTATTCGGGAAAGGAAAAGATGGGAAGAAATGTACTGCTGCACTGGACTCAAACCCCTAAGCCTGCTCTTTAAAAATAAACCCCCAATTTCTCACTTTTTCTCCCAAAGTAGCCTCCACCTGAGCTTTTGCTGGGCAGCTTAACCGCTCAGAACAAATGAAAAGATCTGGCCCCAGACAGGTGAGGCTCCTCCTTCCTGCCACACACTGGATTTTCCTACCTTTGCATAGCTGACTACGCTTAAGACATATTAGTCTTTCCCTCAAGGGGAGCCACCACTCTTTTAAAGATGTAAACAATGGTCACAGAGCCATCAGCAATGCAACAGAGGACAAATGTCACTGCGAATAAAAAAGGTGTTGCCCAAGTACTTACTTTAGCCACCTGGCAGCCTGGTGAACCCACAGCTCCTGAGCAGCAGCTGTAATGAGTTTCCCATCCACCCGGCACTGAAAGAGCAAGAGACCAGAGTCAGGAGAGGAGCCCTGTCAACAGGAGACCTAAACTCCAGCTCACAAGCGCACACGTGTCCTGGACGAGCACTGCAGCAGCAATGTGTCAAAGGGGACAAATGATGATGGATTCACACAGGGCCATCATGTTGAACGCTCTCCAACTCAGCCAGACAGAAGCTCCAGGAATTAGCCCCTAGCCACGGTGTGGGTGAGCAGTGTGACTGATCTACTCATCACAGCACATTCAGATGCTTTGCTGGGAAGCTCCAGCAAAGTTCAAGCTGGGGCTTGCTGCAAATGAATTCGACCAACTCTCTCGGGCAGCAGCCTAGTGCTTGCACGCCAGGCTCCTAACAAGACTTCTCTTTAGTTGGCTGCAGAAATGGACAGGGAGCTTGTTTTACCTTCCCTTGCTTTTAAACTGGAAGATCAACAGCATTTGCTCTAGCTCCGTGTTCACATTTTAGGTGCAGCCCTTTTTGCAGGGCTAGGTCATGAGGAGCTGGGTCACCCAGTGACACAACTGGGAACTGTCACAACACGAGTTGGACAGGCCCCAAGAGCCACAAAAGGGTAACTCAAAGGACAGGTAGCCTTGGTGTTCAGAGCCAAAACTACCTGGAAAACAGCCAGTGTGTGACTGAGCAACTCCTTTTGGAAGGAACCTACCCCTCTGCTTGCGTAGCCTTCCCCAGTGATGGACGCACTCCTCCTTGCGGATGCAGCTCCCGGAGGCTGAGACCATGTACTCCGTGCCACAGCGGCAACAAATCCTGCAGGAGGCTTTCAAAGAGGAGAAGAAGAAGAATCAGGTCACTGGAAACCCCTGCCCCTGCTAAATTTGGCCAAAAACACAATGAGGAAATCACTCTTGCTCAAAACGCTGGTGATATTCACAAGTAAAACTTTTGCTTTTAGAACGGATTCCAAAGGTTGTTTCAAATCCTACAGAGATTCAGCAATTCATTCGAAAAGAGATTTTGTGCCCTGAACCACTTTTTGGAAGCAAACCTGTGGCTCCCCAGTGCTTCTTTGTTGTGCAACATCAGCACAAATTCTCTGCAATATTTCTCCCTTTGCAGCAAGTTACGTTGCACTCAACACAGTTATTAAAAAAGTCAGGATAAACACATAATTCTTTGGCCACAAAAAGCTAGCAAGGCCTCGTTTGCAGGGGACTCATGCCTTATCACTTCCGAGTTCGTCCTGAGCACAGCTTTTCTGCAAGGATTCCCTTGTAGAAATGCTTAATGCTTAGAAATGCTCCCTAAACCAGGAATACTTACGGACCCACAGCTCTCTGCAGGGGCAGCTGTGGGCTTCTCCCCTTTCCCTCTGGAAACTCTGCTCTTACCAGGCACGTCCCTTAGTGCTAAAGTCCTGAAAATGGAACCGGGAACTCTGTCCTGCCCGTGCTGCTTCCTCCTGCTCACGTGGGAACCTGCCTTCTTTCAGCTAAATGTCCCACCATGGACCTTTACCAGGTACTTGAGCATGAAGATGAGGTGACTTAGGTGATTTATCCCCCCTGGTTGTGGCCAGCACTTGAGCCACGAGCTCTAGTCTTTAAATATGGACCAAGCAGACCTCGTACAGCCTCTGCAAGGATGCGCGCCCAAAAGCAAGCACTGAAAAAACTGCTCTCCGTGGCTCTAAAAAATACAGCACTTGACAGTGTTAGTGCAAGGAAGCTTTTGTACAGGTTGCTTCAGCAACCGCAGGACAAGTGTAGACACAAGGTGTTAACACGGATGAGCACTTAACACACTTCAGCGAGGTCTCTCCAAAGAGACGCTCCGAGCAGCCTGGCAAGGCACCTCCAAATCTATCCTTTGCTCCTGTAAGTACGTGCTTTATCCCTGCTGCAGAACTGCCTGCTCTAGGAAGTGTATTTAGCTTCCTAGTTTAGCTCCCATGGAGCTAAAGGAAGTGTATTTAGGAAGTGTAGCTTCTGCTGGAGGACTTTTAGGAAGTACAGCTCCTGCTAGAGGGCTTCAGGGGAAAAAAAAGAGAGGTAAAAAAAATAAAAAAAAAAGAAGAGAAATGGACAGACAGGTAAAGGTACCATTTGGCACAAGGAAATCCTTTGGGATTATTTCATCCAGCCACAAAAAAAAAGGCCTTTTGGAAACTATTTGGCCCAGCGCCATCAAGTGACCACACCAAAAACTGCACAATCCAAACGCAGCCCTGCACAACCCGACGTCTTCCCATATCACAGCAGAACCACAGCAGAACAGCAGTTCATGTGCACAGGAGCCCTAAAAAAAATACTCCCCCCAGAAGAGAAGAGCATCACTCGAAGTTGAAGAGAAGCCCCTCAATTTTCCGCATCTAGTGTCCAGGTTGGCATAACAACCTCGAGAGTGACTGAGGGAGAACCCTAAAATCTGCCCTGAGCAGCTCTGCAACACAGCCCTCAAAGCGGGCGGTCAAGGACTGCACAGAGAGCGCGGCCAGGTCCTGCTCTTTGGAGCAGTCCTGGACCTCACTGGGTCTCTCAGACCTGCAGATCCCTGGCTGCAAACTGAGTGTCCAAGCTACATTCCCATGACGTGCAGAGTGAAGGAACCTGCCCTGCAGAGGCAGGAGACTCGTACAGCCAAACTCCTCTGGCCAGCAGAGACACCGGTGACAACCCCGGGAGACCCATCAGGACAGGAGCAGACGACTCCAGGCTGACACCAGTAACGTCTCTATGGGAAACGACTGGTGACAAGCGGGACGGGAGCACCCAGCTGTAGCGGGTCAGCAAAGCCACAGGAATGAAGCACTTGGAAGAACTTACAGTCCAGAGTTTTCTTCTCCTCCACGGTGAAGAGGACGGCGCGGCCGGGCTTCTCCGGGTGAGGCATTGGGTAGCCGTTCTCCTTGAGCTGCTCCTCAGTCATGAGATACTCCTTGAGCCGCCGGTACAAGGCAGCTCCTGCAGACACCAAAGACAGCGCTGAAGCCACGAGGCAGAAGCAGGGAACGTTTCTCCTACCACGCTCTGCTTTATCAAGCCATTGATATCAAGTCATTCATTTATTCTGGAGGAATTCCCACCATCCTGAACTTGCTTTATTGCCTCTGTTCAGTATTGACAAGGGAGGTAACTGCTGGGGCAACATTTTTCGTAACTGGTCACAGTGCACAAGCCTATTTTTAAAGCCTTCAACCAGCAGCATTAAGTCAGCATGTCTAGAAAACCCAGCTGAGGTGGAATTCCTCCAAAGGATCCATCTTCAGGCCTTTCTCTAACAAATTTGTCAACACTTTAACTGTTGAATCGTAGAAGCCCAAAGAATACCTCTGAGGCCACCTGCAGCCAGCTAAAAATCTCATTATCAGGTGCCTTTTCCTGCTGTTGATTTCAGGCAGTTCATTTCATTCCACAGCATAATTATAACTTCTTACACCCTGTTCAATATCTCTGCTCCAGCCCTTACGTTAAGCCCCTCCAATATTGCTGTGTGCCCTTTGATGTTGCTTAGCTGAGCTCGACAGGCTCTTTCAAGCTTTCTCCATGTCAATTCTTCCTGCTCTGCAGCAGCCCTGTCTCTTCTGATCTCCCCAACAATTTGCCTGCATCTCTCAGCAACCCAAACACTCCTAACAGACTCCAGCCAACATGGATAATGCTTGTGGCACAATCCTTTGGCTGCGATACGACCTTACTATGACATTCCTAAATGTGAAATGGAGCCCCGTGGAACAGATGGACATATCAGTAAGTTTGCCTTTAATCTCACAGGCGTAATATAAAGTACACCTCTAGGGCAGGAAAGCTAAAGTAAAATCCATGCAAAAGAAAAGAGTCCAAAAGTCAGCAATGTCCAAAACACAAGAGGTGGTTCTGAAGTAGCTGATGCTACATCAAAGCTACACAGACTACTCCAAGGAATTCTCAGCCCAAATGAGGGAGGAAAAGGCACTAACCAGGGCAGTATAGCATCCTACAGAGCAAGTTTGCAACACTACGCTGCAGTTAAATGAGAACTCATAACACTGGCCCCAAGATAAATCGTATCACTTCGTGTATCAGTGAGATCCAGCTCTCCCTAGCCACGGGGTTATACCTACAGCTGCACCTGCATGTTGTAGCATTACGGGAGCAGGGTCTTACCTGTCAAATCCTCTGCTCTCAAGCTTCCCGATCGGTTCAGAGTAAAGCTCGTCTTGGCCGCAAGCTTCCCTCCCAGCACAGCTTCATGGGACACCACCTTCTTGTTACTCGCCTCTGCAATGGGAAGAAAGGAGGTGCAAAACGGGACAGGGATCAGCTGCAATCTTGGAAAAGCAGGAGACATCCATCCTGAAGCTTGGGGCACCAAGCAGGGACAAAAGGAGGGTTACATTTATCCTCCTGAACTCTTGGTCTGCCCCAGCAACTGCTACCTGTTAAGCAGTGGTGGCCTGTTCCTAGTGTATTTATTCCAGCATTATGGGGACTTCCTAGTGTATTTATTCCAGCACTATGGGGGGGTTGCTCTTTGCACTGTCAGCCTACACCAAGCTTTCTAAGGGCAGGTAGGGACATTTGCACAGGTCCCTGTGCTCCTGCAGTTCTGCCCACCTGCTCCACATACCAAGTAGCCCTCCTGAAAAAGCAAGGGAGGGCTGAGCACAGAGCAGCTCAGCTCAGTCACGAGCAAAATGAAGTAAGTGACGACGGGGCAGCCGTGCCACTGCATCCCTGCACACTGGACTCCCACCTGGATCTTTCAACTTCCCTTCGAAAGGCTTCAGCGCTCCGGAATATGCTCAACACATCAGATAATGGCAGGCAGGTGCTTTTTACTAATCATTAACTGGCAGCCCTCTCCTAAAGGCCAGCCTCCCGAGTTCAGCTGCTCTGACTAATGGCCATGAAGGTAATGAAGACAGAGGGGAGAAAAGGGAAGAGACCAGAAGAGGGGAAAAAAAAAAATCACAAGAACAGCACAAATTGATTGTTTAATGTACCCTCTCGAGAGCCAATAATGAAATGTCTTAACCCTCTTCGTTTCTTTCTTGAAGCTTAATGTGTGTAACAGATTTCTGCGGTGATGGACGAGTCTATCACTTTGAAGGCATCATGTGAAAGTTACTCCATTAGCGGGGCTTTTCATTTTAAAGAACTTGTGCTAAAAAAAAAATCCATGTGGCATTATCTCCATTTAGGTTCAGACAGCCAACAAAGCATTGCAGGACTTGCCTCTTGAAGGCCCATTAAAGCTTGCCAGACTATAAAAAGCTAACTGGAGTTGTTTAGCTTTCAGCATAATGCTTCTGAGAAATGGCTCTGTCTTTTCAACAAGTTTCTCTCCGTGGCTTCTAATCCAAGCAGGGCTCCAATTATTAAACCACAAATGTGGTACGTACTGTTCGTGCTGGACGGGGAGTTGGGCACGAGGCTCCTGAGCTTCTTCAAGGTGTTCACCGCCACGTTCAGGTAGATGTTCCGACTCGTGCTGCGTTCGTAGGCCACCTTCTCTTCGGACAGAGCCTGCAAAAAACACAGTTCATTACTGCACACTCTCCTTGCACTATTGCTTTTGGAAATAAGCAGGAATATGGCACAAAGATATACTGGGTTTGGGGCCTGTTTAGGCAAGCCAGAGAGAGGAAAAAAGAATATATTAAACTAAGGGCATATAGAAGTATTTTCATATGAAACTTTTCCCTAACAGATTAAAAAAGGAGCTCTGGAGCCTCCTGCAAAAGGCTGTTCTCCCCACTTCATTGGCAGCACGAGGCAAAAGTCTGAGCTGGACAAGAAAAGGAAGTTTTCCTGACAGAAATGAGGGCAAACAGCCACTCCTTGGGTAAAACAGGAACATCCCCCAAGGACTGACAAAGGGGAAATCCCACAAAAGAAATCCCCACAGAATCTGGTTTGCACATAAAACCTGCCATGGCAAAAATGGCCAACTTTGCTTTTGGAAATCCTGCTATACTATCCCTTACTGCTAGAAGGTTCCTTAAAAGCCCAGAAACAAGTTTTACTGATTACATCCAACTCACATATTTATATTTATTTTATAGTAAATATCCCAATCAGAATTTTTTAATGCCTGGCTCCTCTATGGAATTACATGCAAACAGCTGAGTTTTCTGCTTGCACCACACATTTAAAATGTTTCAGCCAACACAGAGGACATCATTCTTTACTCCACATTTTATTCACAAGCAAGCATGGATGCACCAACCTTGTCAAACGCTTCCTGGGAGGAGGAGCAGAACTTCAGGCACTCATCAATGAACAGATTGAGATATCTTTGGCGGATGTTTGTTGGGACTTTAGCCCCAAATTCTGTGGGAATAACCGGCCTCTGTAAAGTGGTGCTCTAGGGAAGACAGAAAGAGATTATTTGGGATTATTACTTGGAGAAGAATGTTGCTTCGAGACTGTCACACGTCCTGGTATGTTATTAATAGTGGCATGACTTCCTCGCTGAAAAATCTTTTCAAAGCTAAACAAAGTGCATCATCTTCAGCCTCAAAAACACCACCTCAAACTTTTGTGCTGCCTTCAGTATTTTAATTACTTCCAAAAACATCCAAGTTTCATTATACGACTCACAGTTAATTAGCACCAGCAGCATTAGTCACGACACCACATTTACGTATGCAAACAGCCCAGACCATGATAAAGAAAGAGGGGAGATTAGCAAGGTGCCAAACATCACACAGTTAATCGGAGACATGGACACATGATAAATCAGGACACTTTCAGTGGGATTCCTGTAACTTCACTGCCTTCCCTTTCTTTTTCATGCCAGTCATGATGCTCCTGAAAGGATTTTTACCCTTAAATTGATAGACACATTCTTCTGAGCAATTATTGATGTGGAGGAACTGCATGTTGGGCTGAGTTACGATCTACTGTTGCAGTCCTCCATTTAGCACCAATTTATCTCCCACAATTTGCCCCATGGCTCAAAGGGAAAGGAGATTTCTTTGCTGAGGAACTAGCAGTAGAAGACCCCAAGGTGAGGGCAGGTATTCCAAAGAAAAGGGCTTTCTCCCCACAAGTATCAACTGCAGCATGAAGTTAACGTGAACATATTTTAACTGTGGATTTAATAGGCAGGACATTAATCCTGCCATTCCGTTCAAGCGGGTGAGAGAAACACCTACAAACTGGGCCAGACAGCACAGACAAACACTCAAAATAAAAATGGGAGATCGATATTCAGGCAGATAAGAGCTGCATTTAAATATTTCTATCTTTTTAAGTTCCTGCCCCCCTTTTTTCTTTTTCTTTTTCTTTTTTTTAATACAGTGCTATCTAGGAAAACCACAGGAAGAGAGAAACCCACTCAATCAATCTAATCAAACCTCACTCTTCAGAGCGTGCTCCGTTTGCAGCACCATGGTTAAACACACCGTCCTCAATGGGGAACGACCAGAAAGGAGGCTGCAGAGAGGGGGGTTCTTTACCTGCAGGGAGGGCACGTGCGCTATCCTTTTCGGCACCGTGGTGCTGGTGGTCTTGGAGGCCATCCCAGCCAAGGTGCAGGCCTTCAGAGAAAGGGTGGCTGCTTCAGAGTCACTGGGCACTGTGACATTCTTGGCAGGAACAGTCTTCTTACCACCCGCAGGGCCTGCAAGGAACAGAAATGTATTTAGGTAGAAATCCCATCACAGGGCTCCCACCAGATTGCCAGGCTGATCTGAACACCAAAGCCGCGTGCTGCAGGCTGTGCTTTGGGAACGGGAGCTGCCCACTCCCCCAGGGGACAGGATGGGTGATTTTATTCTCTTGCACGATAGGACGAAGGACTCCCCTGCTAGGGACTGAGGCTGTTTTTCTTTGTTGCTGCTCTTTTGGATTTGAGATAACTGAGTGATAACTCTTGCTAGGAGGCATTAGCTGCCCATCCCGCCAGCTCTGAGCCCTTCCCTACGCAGGGTCCCTGAGGAGGATAAATTGGCATCTCCCTGCCTGCCCATGACACCTCCTCAAAGGCATGAATGGAAGAGCAAACGAGGAGCCAACGCTCCCCAGAAGGAAGAAACAGGCAAAGAAGGGAGCGAGCCAAGGGAGGTGGCTGAGGGTTGCACTGCTAGTCTGTTCCTTTTCAGAAAGTGATGGGATTTCTCAGGCCCGGGGGGAAGGATCTGGGATTCAAATTCCTGGCTACAACAGCTCCAGATAGTTTGACATCGGGAAAGGCAAGCAGAAGGCAGCGCCTTTGCGACGGGGCTGGGGCCAGGGCCGCGGGTCGGCTCACTCTGCCTGGCTGCGGCGGCGAGGGCTGCGTTGGGCACGTGGGCAATCCTCTTCTTCTCTCCTGGCAAAGAAAGAGAGGCCTTTTGAACGGCCACAGCCAGCTGTGCCGCCTGCTGCTGAGCCAGCCGGATCCTCTGGTAACAGACCTCCTGCGCCGTGGGCGGCCGGGGCGGCCGGGCTACGGGCTTGCCGGGGACCTCCGCCTGCACAGACACAAAAACGGTTCTGGAGCCGCTGCCGCCACCGCCGCTCGGCTCCCCCACCCCGGGAAACGTCCCCTTCCCTGGGGGCGCTCCGTAGAGGCAGCCGATCCCGACGGCGTTGAGGAGGAAAACGCTCGGAGCGGAGATGCTGCCCCAGCAGCAGCGATGTTAAAGGCCCGATCGCCGGCCCACTGGGATCTTCCTAAAACGAAGCTGTGTTGAGCTGCCATGGTCAACGGCGCAGGGTCACCTTGATGTGTCCAACCAGCGCTGGGCTCTGCCCAAGCTGTCGGCTCCTCCAGCTTCCTAAACTACCAGCACTCCCTGGCCTCACTGCATGCATCTCCACGCTACAGGGCAACGAAAATAAGGAACTGTTCCCCGTTCACCTGCGCTACATGATGCCGAGTTTAGCAGATGGCATCTGCTCTCTGTCCACCAATGTCTTTCTCATGCTTAAGACCCTGGGTAATCTATCCTCGTATCAAAGCAGCTCCCCACCTCCCAGCAGCCTCGTTTCCCTGCTCTCTAGCTTTTATATCTATTTAAAGGCCTCCAATACATGTATTTATGGGATTAGAGCACCAGCCAGGATATAAACTGAGTTGAATTTTAAGCAGGCTCTGCCCCTGCCTCCTCCTGGGAGCTTTGCATTGCTCCAGTCATAACTGGCACAACAAGTTACACACGCAGTTTCTTTGATGGCCACATTTAGGTTACAGGAAAGGTGCCAGAAACGATGTCAGCAAACAGAGACGTTTTCTAATAGCACAAGTATAACAGAGGCTGCAGCAGCAGCACAGGCTCCCACCACACACCACTTAACGCCCTTTGAAATTGCAGAAAGGGGCCTTTCCTCCCGAAACGCCTTCCTTGCACAACCCGCAGGGCCCGTTTGCAACATGGTGTTTCTGAGCCTGCAAATGGTCTGAGCTGCCGCCTCCCTCTTTCCTTCTCTCTGATGCCGACACCTCCTGGAAGCCCGACCGAGCGCTGTCACCCCTTACACACTAATTACAGGCAGCCAAGTGGGACGGGACATTCGTTCAGTGCCTCACCTTCACCCCAGCCCCTTATTCCTCTGAAAACCGAGCCAAAACGCAGCTTCCTTCCCTTCTAGGGGCTCAGGTCCTGAGTTATAAGTCACAAGGAAGACAGAGGTACGTGGCAAACCCCCAGGGCAGCAGGGCCCAGGCAGGATGCGGAGCGCACCGGAGCGCTGCTGCTCGCCGTGCAGCGACCGCACTGCGGCTCGCGTCTTTAGAAAGCAGTCGGCCATCAGCTGTCACACTAAGAAAACGCATGGAAAGATCTGCACATGTCTAAAAGGCACCTATTTACAATAAATATTTGAGTTACTGAATTTCCAGCCCATTTGCTTCAGTCTCTTATCTCCTCGCCTTGCAAGAAAGGGTCCTTATCAAAACACACGAACTGGCTGAAGAAATGCAGTTAAATAAAACGCAAGTATTGACCTCAATGCTTCAAACTATTAAAAGGAAAGAAACCCTTCCTAGCGAGAGGGGGAAAGAAGAACAGTTTGGGCTACCCAGCTCAAATCAGTATTTAAGGCTCCACAGTTACCGTGCTGGAACATAAAACCAACAAATCTGTGCTCAGCACCTAGTAGGAAATACATTGGTGAAAACCTGAATTAAAATCTCAGTGAGAAACGGGAGGAAAAACTTAAAAAAAAAAAAAAAAAAAAACAGAATGTCTTCAAGGCCTTTTTTATTATTCTCTTTGTAAAAAGTAGTTTCATAAGCATGGAAAGAAAAGTATCAAACAGGAGACTACTGACTGAATCAGAGCAGATGTAAACATGATAGAGGATGTAAAATTCCGACAGAATCATAGAATCATAGAATGCTTAAGGTTGGAAGGGACCTCTAGAGGTCATCTAGTCCAACCCCCCTGCACTATTACATCAATCTTGTAGTTTCACAACAAAAAATACCATCAGACACACGCTTACCTTGTATACAGATAAAAGTTATCTAACTGATATAATGAAGTTGGACTGCAGAAAAAGGAGCACCCCAAGCTGTTCTAGTGAGTTACAAGGTACTGAATCCATTTACTCTTCCACAATTTCTCCCTGTTTATTACAGTTTTGTTGCCAATTGTAATGGAGGCCTTTTAAGAAACCAGAAAGAGGAAAGAAATGTGGCATAAACACAGCACCCCTGCCCAGTGCTGTAAAAGGACAGAAAATATTAACTTTAGACAAACCATATTTTTGCTCCTGAGAGTTGCACTTACATTTCCTTGTTTGACAAGATGAGAAATCCTTCTTTTTTGGCCGGGAAATAGAGTAGTCAAAGTATCTTCTGTCTTTTCTTCACTTCCTTCCTCTCTGGATAGCTGGAAAACAAACAAGCAAACTTCCAAAACTGAATAGCCTTGAGGATCCCTTTTCCAGCAGGAGATCTGAAGAGTCTCCCTTCGGGATAACAAGTCCTTGCAGGTGAGGACAAACCTTGATCAGCTGCTAAACGACTGAAACAAAACTCGTTTTGAACCCCCAAACCACCACTGCAGCCACTGAATAGCAGCAATATTGTTCCCACCCAAGCAGCCTTTCCATGAGCTATACACCAAGCAGTTTTGGCATGATTCATTATGGGCTATTCCCCTAACTACCATGAAAAACTCGAATGCCCTTCCCCTGCCAACCACCTACACACACACACACCCCTCACCTTTGTGCCACTCTTAACAGTCCTCCTTCTTCCCCTTCTTCTCCTGGTAGGAACTTGGGTGGTGGCTCATTCCTGTCCCCTGCGTGATTTCGGAGCAGACCCTGAAACCACGCCGGGCACCACGGCCCCACTCCACGCTTAGGATAACATTTCCCTGGCGTTTTAGCCACAACCAAATCTGCAGGAAGGCTGCAGTGACAAAGGCCAGGAAGCCAGGAGAAGGTGACAGCACGTCTCTAACTCCAGCTGCTTCCAAGCTATCCTCACAGACTTGTTGTCAGAGGGATGAAAAAAAAACTTTGAAATATTCCTCGAGTTTTACTTGGCTCTTCAGTCATACAAAACACACTTTAGACGTTCAATCTTCAAAACTTTACCTGCTCTCCTGGCATGCTGGCTTTCAGTTTTCCAACACAGCCACCGGCAAAGCTGTGAACGGGGACAAGACTGACCATCCTGACGAAGCTCGGAGCTAGAGCCGGACTTCGGGATGAGCCGAGGCTCGGCTCCAAGAGCTTGTTTACAAACACGTCACCACCACGAGCACGTTTTGGAGGAGCACCTCGCCCTGTGAATCACTCGGCTCTCTAGGAACCCCATGAGTCTGTTGATTCAATCACATTCCTCATGTACTCTCCAAACCAGCCTTCCAGGGGGGCAGCTCCACACTGCCCCTATCCACCTTTCCTCCAGACTAGCACATTGCGAGGATCAAACCACACGAACTGCAGCTATAAAGTTATTCCATAAAGAAAAACAAATGGAGGGACAGATTCCACCCTCCAGAAAAACAGAGGGCAGGCAGGTAACTACTTACAGGTACACATCTCTCAAATGACCTCTGCACTGCAATGCTTTTTCTGCCCTTTTCCAAAATTACATTTTCGAGCAGGAAGGTCAGGTAACGCACAAGCAAAGGCTGTGGGAAACACATACAGCTGGGCAGCCCTCCACGTGCAAGCAAAAATCCAGCAGTGCTTAGAAGTTCAGAAGAAAACCACTGCACTAGTAACTGCCTTCTAGAGCTTCTCTTGCCAAGGAGTTCCAGATCACTCTAAGAAACATCTCAACTTGTCGGCAAAACAGACCCCTCTCAGAACAGACCTGTGTCGTTACAGCAGCTTTAACAGCCCGACCATTCACACTTACAAATCCAGCTCCTCTTTTGCAAGATGAGCTCTGCTCCCCAGGCTGCAGATCCCGTTTACTTCGGCCTCCACATACAGACTGCTGCGACCAGAAGGGCTTTGTCCATGGCCACTACAAACCTAAAAAACCCCTCAACATTTCTGAGGTAGCTTTAGGAGAAAATAAACGTCCATGAGTAATCCCACCAGAGGAAATTGGTCCTCACCCATTCATGGTTCACGCTGCCCTCATCCCACCTCTCTGGAGTAATAATCCCCGAGGGATTTTAGTCCTGTGTGAAGGACTACAGAGGAAGACTTCTCTCAGCTAGTTGAAACAAGTAGCACCACTAAACTAGACCAGGATCCTTTCAGAATTTAGCTCTGAGAGAAACAAGCAGAGCAAATGTTACCTGCTTCTTCAGCCTTCCCTTGTCTTCAGTTTTCACGTCTGTAGACTCATTAAAAATCCTGAGGCACTCTTCCATTGGATCCGACTCAAAGTCCAAGTCCTTCTCTAGAATGGAATAGTCAATGTCATCAGACGTTGAGGAAGAAGAGGATGACTTTGACAATTTGGAGCGCTTCACACTCTTCATCTCTTCATTTTCACTCTGAGAGTCCGAACGACAGTCGTCGCCGTCCGAGTCCGAGCTCACATCAAGGAGTGTGGACGGCAAAGGTCGCCCTTTGTCATCGTCATCCCCACTCTCGTCCCCAAAGAGATCAACGTGACTCAAACTCCGTTGCTTCCGACCCTTCTTTGGATCCCCTTTTTCTTTAGAATTGTCCTTGTCTTTCTTTCGTTCCAGTGCTGGAGCTTTGGTCCCTTTGTCTTTGTTTTTACGACCAGAGGTTTCTTTACCATTTTTCAAGTCAGCTGTTTTCACTTTGGAGTCTTTCTTGCTGCTCCCCAGCTTCTCTGTGCTAGAGCCTTTGATGACACCCTCATTCTTGCTTTTCCCTGAACTGCTGCTAGGGGACTTGGATTTTTCTTTCTTAAGCCCATCCACTTTTTCTGATTTTTGCTTTTCATTTTTTTTTAAATTCCCATCAGTTTTGACTTTGCTGCTTTTCTCTTTACAGTTTTTCTCCTCGTTTTTTATTTTTACCTTTTCTTCTTTCTTGCCCATTTTGTCTTTTTCTGTATTTTTACTTTTCTCTTTCTTACCAGCCTCGTTGAGGCTAGGTGTTTTACTAAGATCCGGTTTCTTCTTTTTTGCTTTGTCTTTCGAGTCTTTGTTTTTATTTTCAATGTCCTGCTCATTCTTGCCAGAACCCAATTTTGCTGCTTTTGCATTCTTTTCTGACACGTTTTTGGCCACGTTTTTCTGCGAGCTTGGAAGGCCTTCCAAGTCAAATTGCACTGCCATTTCTTGGGAAGCCGAGTCGTCCGCTCTGGTGCTCTGCTCTTTGTTGGATAACCCGTCGTTTGATTCACTTTCAGAACCAGCTTTTGATTGTGAACTAACAGAAGTCGGCTTATATTCCGCATCGGCCTCATCTTCAGAGGAGGAGAACCTGGCGCACACCCCGTAGTCATCGGGATCTTCACAGAGCCTCTTTGGCGAAGGACAGTAACACTCCTCATAACTAGGCACCCTACTCCTTTTAGACCCCTTGGGCTCCTTCGTTGTGCCTTTGCTCAAGAGCCTGGCCGAGTAATTCGAAAGCGGGTCATATTCCAAGTCTGTGGAAGGTTTGGAGTCGTCGATCACATATTTATTGTTAGTGACTGAGCAACTGTATTTTTTAGTCTGTGCTACGGCCTTCGGGACGTATTCCAATGAGCTCCCCTTGGATCGGGAAGTGTCCAAAGTGTATTTACTGGACTGGCTAGCAGCAGCTAGAGGAGTAGGGTTGTAGTCTGTGTTATTTAAGTTGTAGCTACCTGGATTATACTCTAAGGAGATAAAAGAATCAGTTTCTGTCACAGCAGCTGATATGGACGTTTGGGAAATAAAGGAAGAGGCCTCTGAAGCGCCAAATTCCTTTGTCGTTTCTAACAGCTCCTCATACTTCTTCTGCTCTCTCTCAACTTCGTTTTTGACGGCCTCGATGGCCTTGTTGACCAATTCCAGCTCCAGAATGCCGGGCGTCATGTCCGTAATGTCGTCCAGAGCACCATTCTCCACTTGCAGCGACGGCCTCGGAAGATCGGGATTATAGGGATCATAGCCACGCTCTGTAAAGGAGAAGGAAAAGAAATTCACAACCAGTAACTCAGGTGAGATTTTCTTTGGAGTATTTTTTGCGTTTTTTTAAGCTCTACTCTCATCAAAATTCTATACTGAAACGTACCACAGAAAACCATACTGTACCCCTATGGAGTATGTGTTTGATGTAGGAAGTCACTGGTGGTATTCTCTGGCCGGTGGCAGGTACATAACTAGACTGAATTTTACAAACTATTCTCAGATCTGAAAGACTAAAGGCCTATTGACAAAGTCCTTAGATTACTCACGGAAAAACTCTATAAATGAAATATTCTTTGTGGCATCAAAGGATAATCACCACACGAGGACTAAGAGGAACCACGTCCATGCAGTATTACCTGCCTAATTTAACAGAGTGAGCAAAATACAGAGGATTCTAGCATAAAATCTGTGGATTATGTTCCAGTTTGATGCCAATGCCCAAAGTCCAGTCACAGACTCCAACATTACATGAAGCTCAGCACTTCTTGCGGCAGCAGCAAAAGAACCAAGACTTCCTCGGACGACAGACCGCTTGCTAATAAAAAAAAGCTACAGAGTGCACTACCAAAGCAACCCAACTCAGCTGCACGGAACAAAACACTCGGCCCAGGAGCAGGAGACACCCACAACTGCAACCCGACCTTTCTCTTTTCACACAACCCCTTTAGGTGGCCTATGGCACGCAGATATTTACAGGACTGTGACCGAGGAGCAGCTCCACTTCATTTTCTCGTTTACAGATGAGTAGAGAAGTGTGGAGAAGGAATTTACCCCGAGTGTTTGGATGCCTCTTGCACGTTTGCTTTTCTAATTTTATTGGAGCGGAGCACGTGCCTGTGCTTTGAGAGAGGAGCCCGCGAGCAGCAGAGCAGGGGGCTCGCGAAAGCTCCGGCCGGGAAGCCCCAAGCAGAGCTTCGCTCGTCCCCAGCAGCCCCGGGGCGGCTCTCGCCGTCCTCCCCCGCATCCCACCCTTCTCTCCCCGCACCTCCCATCTCGTTTTTGGCCTCCAGCCTTTTCCGCCAGAGCACGGGGTTATTAAGCCTGACTAACCCTATTTCCCGCGTGCTCCACGGCTGATGTTGCAGCCCCTCGCAGGGAGGTGAGCTCAGCAGCACCCCGACACCCTGGCCCTGCACTTCTATAGCAATTAGGTGATCACCAGGGCACTAATGAGGGGCATTAGTGGGATATTAATGGAAGCCCTCGCAGGAATTCCCACTTACCACCTGACTCAGGAATAAACTATGTGTCGTTTATCCACATAGGCTTCTAAGAAATGAAGAAGAGCTCTACATTGCAACAGGTCTCCTAAAACAATGACAGCAATGGTCCAGGAAAAGCTTGCAATTTCATACTCAAAGGTGTATTTTAGAATTTAAAAAAAGAAGAAAGGTTTGGTCACATATTCAGAAACCTCCCATGTACAGCCTAGAGCTCTACAGGATGGAACCTGTCGTTTTCCTGCTGCTGGCTCAGCAAGGATGCAAAACACGGCAGCAGAACGAGGGCTGCGGCGTGCGACCGGCGGTTTCCTGCGCCACGGGCTCAGCACTAACCAGCAGCACGTTCTGTTTTCCAAGCATGGGTTTATTGCCCGCGATCCGTCACAGACGTGAAATAGCGACAACCCCCATGGCAATAACCTCTGAAAAGGCAAAATTTGCCATCCTGGGCTGGGGCTTTCCAAGTGCTTCTGCTCTGGCTTGGAGCCGGCTGACCAACGGATATGAAAACGCAAGGAAGAAAAGGTGGAATCCTCCTCATTTTGGAATTAGTTGAGGCAATTAATTGACTCCATTTAACAAAGTCTCCCCACATAAGTTAAACGCTGCCTTTTGACTTGCAAATCACTTTCAATACCCGCTTGATCACAGGGCCTGGATGCTGACTATTCCAGAGGAGCTTCTTCCTCTTTGCTAGAATGAGAGCAGTAGAACTACCTTTCTAATGGGAAGATGTAAAAGAATAAAACAGTAAATGGAGAAAGACCAAAAAAAAAAAAAAAAAAAAGCAGCCCCTTCAGGCTAGTAAGGATGAGAGAATTTCTTATACCAGAGACAGCAGTGACAGGATAGTCCCTTCTGCCACCCTCACATCAGCATTAGCTTGTGCAGATTTGGGGGTGTTTTGTTTTTTGAGCATCCATGGATGCTCAAATCCTTTTGGTCATGAGGAACGATGCTGCCCCCCTTTTGGCAGAATTAACCTCCAAGCAGGCCTAATAATAGAGACCAAGTGAAAATAAAGGCCCCAGCTTCATAAATTGCTTTACCTCTTGGGATGGCAAAGGGTTTTCTTTATTATTATTATTTTTCCCAAACCACTTAGACACTGGTTGAGCAGGCAGCCTGGGCAGAGGCAGCCGACGTCACCACGTTGCAAACAACGACCTTCGCCGGGTTCGGGACCAGAACCAGGGCAGAGAGGAACCCGCGGGACTATTTCCCAAGCTCCCTCTTTTTCTGCTATTCCCAAGGGCCCAAACTTAGAGCATTTCCAAAATGCAAAGCGGAACGTTGCAGAGGGTGATGTGCACTGGACAGACAGACCCCCCAGAGACGACTGAGAAAAAGAAGTCATGAAGAAACAGATAGAAGTGGAAAAGTGAAGATTAAAGCAGATACAAACAGCTTCATCATCAAGGAGGTATATATGAATTTCTGAAAATAATAACTGTTAACCTCATAGCTGAAAACAAACTGCGAGGTCTCCACATGCCCCTTCTCCTGGATCTCCACCTCAATTCTCCCCGTCTTGTGAAACCATCAACTGTGGAAAACACCAGCAAAGTGATGGGCTGGAGGAGGCAGCTGTTACCTTCAAACACAGGATGGGGATCTAAAATTTGGCATGAGTCTAGCCAGAGGGTGGAAATCTGGCAATTTGCTCAGGGATAAAGAGGAGGTGGTTAACAAAAAGCTCTGAGAATGCCCAGTATGGAGTGAAACCCAACTCAAAGAGATCAGTGAAACAAACGGTGGCACCTCCGAAGACAAAAGCAAAACTATTTTAAATGCTTCAAGATACAGGAAAAGTAAAACACAAGCTGAGCATTGGCTCCAGGGACCTAACAAGAAAACGGGCACAGCGCAATTGCTCTGTATTTGCAAACGAGAATAAACAATTTCAATAGAATTGCATTTATACTGTACCAATAAAACTACCAGCTTAAAAAAGTTTGTAGCAACTACTGTTGTGATGCAAAAAGAATACTCTGCCTAGAGCAAGGTTTGCAGGCAAGTCGGGTGAGACTCTTGCGATCAGTTAATGAAATTTAACGAAAATAAAACACAAGAACCTGCAGATTTTTTCCACAAAAGACTCGTGTAAATGGGCTCCACTCTCCTCATTAGGCCTGTTCCCTTTGGCCACGACGTGTTTGCAGATAACAGTGCAAATACAAGCTGGAGATTTTAAATAGAGAAATCCATATATATGTGTGTGTGTGTATATTTTATATCGACCCGCAGATGGCCCAAGTCAGAGGCATTAAATATGCTGCCTGAAACGAGGCCACCTATTCAGATGCCTGATTAAACTCTGAGGAAGCCGGGGAAGGGAAGGGGCTCTGGGTGCCCGGGTAAGCGCCACGCACGCGAGCACGGCCTGAAACACTGGGATGCAACATTCCAAGGAGCCTGCAGCAGCTTGCTGCGTTTATTACCCTCCTTTTTAAGCATTCACACAAAAACCTGCACTGTAAAGATTACTACAAGATGAATTATGTTGCTTCTGCTATAGGAAATGACTACAGTATTTCTGCAGAAGCAAAATGAGGGAAATAATTCTTTTCAATTGATGTAAAATTGAGATTCCACCCTCTCCTTTGAGTATCACAAGATAATGAGATTTGAGAGGACAACTCCTTATAGGACTGTTAACAGGACTGTTTGCATTTTAAAGAGCGTCTCCACTGCAATTTTCATAAATTTAAATTGTGCGCATTAGAAATCGCATGTTAGAAATGTAAAATAGTCCTCCCAAGACACAAAAAGCTCAAATTAAACATGAACACCACAAAAAATAACTAAGAATTCATATGGGGCCACAGGAACAATATTAAGCTACAAGTACTTTAGAAGACACCAGCATTGTCCAAAATGAACCCCACTTAGAGCTGCTTCAGGAAGTGAAAAACAAGCTTCTCCAGAAAACCCAGGTTGCTTTTTTTTTTTTTTTTTCTCCTGGTTATAGTTATGTGGGTTTTGGAAAATGAGGCCTCAGCTCTAAGGTGGAGCTGCTTTAATAAAGGGCTCTCCTCGCTGCACACTGGTCCTTCTAGTTTTTGCAGCAGAAGGCAGTAAACACAGGCTGACCTTAAACGAAAACGGAGAGGCCTTTGGTGCAAGGTCACCTGTTGGGTATTAAAACTTATTTTACAGTGAATCATTCTATTAAAAATATATATATATATTTCCAAGCAGCCTAACAGAGCACATAGTTGAGAAGCTTTATAAACACCGGCCTCTCCAAACCTGCGGATTTTGGAAGTCGTCAAGTTTTTGCATGCAAGTAGGACAAGGGTGGTAACTGTCTTGCTCGCAGATATTGTGAGAGTTGCTGAGCCCCAGCAGCTGCTGCTAAGGAAAATGGAGACAAAAATTAGAAGCAGGCAAACGGGTGACAACTCAAGTCTGAAAAAGCAAAGGTTTGCCAGGCAAACTGCAGAAAAGACAGCAGAAAAAATGCTAAAAGATGGCAAAAATGTCCAGGGTTCTCTGAATTCACCCGTTTTCCTGAGTCACTGGAGCTGGCAACAAAAGGTGCATTCACCAGGAAAGGAATAGGGGGAAGGCAGAAGCTGTCAGGAGACCTCTTTGGAAAAAAATAAATTAAAAAAAGCCATTTTTTTCAGCACAGTCAGAACGGCTCTGTTAGCTTAACAGCTTCCCTGTGTTTACAGTGTCAGTACTCAGCAAACGGACAGGCTCAGCGATTACGGAAAAAATATCACCACTGGAAATTTATTTTAAGCTTTTCATTTAATATTTCACAGAAGAGATTGTGGTTTCTCAAGGACAAAATGGTTCAAAAAGAAAAAAAAACAGCAGCAAGATGAATGCTGCTATTTGTCATTATTCAACAGCTCAAAGGAAATGGCAGCTCTGGGCTCAGA